TTCCACCGAAACAAAAGAATACCTTCGGGACATGAAAAGCACCCAGAAACAAAGTCCTTAGGGTCCTGTCTCTCCCTGTTTTTCCCTCAGTTCTGTCTTCCCATTACAGTAGTTTTTGGAATATTTACCTTCAGTTGCAGACATCTTTTTTAAGCCATTCAGGTGACATCAGGAAGTCTATAAATTTGTTCAAATTTTTATTAAAAAAAAACTAACTGGGTGTGGTGGTGCATACCTTAGCTACTCAGGAGGCTGAGGCAGGAGGATCTTGAGTTCAAGTGCAGCATGGACAATTTAGCAAATCTGTCTTAAAATGAAAAAAAAAAAATGGGGGTGTAGCTCAGTGTCAAGCATGTGAAGCACAAAGCCTTGGGTTCAATCCCCAGGCCAAGGGGTGAAAAAGAAAACATATTACAGGTGTATGACATCCCATATTTTAACACACTTAAGCACCATGTTAACTTCCTCTTGGCTTGGGGACACTCAGAAGTTTTCTTGTTCTGTTTTTTGTCTTTTTTTGCTTGTTTGTTTGTTTTTCTGGTACTGGAAATTGAACTCATGACCTTGCACTTGCCAAGCAGGCTCTGTGCTGCTGAGCTAAATCCCCAGCCCCTGTTTTTTGTCTTTTTGAGACAGGGTCTTGCTATGCACTTCACGCTGGCCTTGAGCTTACTTTGTAGCCCAGGCTGGTCTTGAACTTGCAAGGATCCTCCTGCCTCAGCCTCCTGGGATTACAGGCGTGCACCACCATGCCCGGCGTGCCCCGGAAGTTTTGAAACTGATGGAAAACTTGAATTAACCCCCTGCTCTAAGTTCCTGGCCGCCCTGTGAAGGACCCTCTGCAGAGATCTTCATCTGCTGCACCAGGCACAGCCAGCCTGGCATGCGGACGGGACGGGCTTTGCTCTGCACCCGTGCAGGATGTGAGCCTGAGCCCCTGAAGAGGGAAACGATGGGGTTCCTTACAAAACACAGGCCTCCTCATGTGCACGTAAGGCACCTGTAGAAGCGGCCACGCTATGATGCCGAGTGTGCAGTGGAACACAGACGGCGCCCCGCGACCACAAGAGAAATGCGTGAAACCATCATGCTGAAGGGCTGGGTGTCTTGGATGCGTTTTTGACTTGCGATAATTTCAATTTATGACTGAGATGTCAATTTATAGGCAGGCAAGGTGGTGCACGCCTGTAATACTGGAACTCTGGGAGACTGAGGAGGATCACGAGTTCAAGCCCAGCCTGGGCAATTTAGCGACTTTGTAAGACTTTGTCTCAAAAAAAAAAAAAGGGGGCTGGGGATGTAACTTAGTGCACGGAGATGTGAAGGCCCTGGGCTCAATCTCCAGAACCTGACATAGAAGAAAAGGAAGGCAGAGAAGGAGGAGGAGGAAGAGGAGGAGGAAGAAGAAATTCTTTTTAAAACTTTGGAATTAAAAAAATGACAAAAACATTTTTAAAAATGACACAGGAATATGAGCTCTATAGGGTGAGGATTTTTGTTGCTCTGGGCTCTGCTCTATCTCCAGTGCATATTGTAGGTGCTCAGTAAATAAATACATGGTGAGCTGGGCACGGTGGTGCATGTCTGCAATCCCAGTTCCTCGGAAGGCTGAGGCAGGAGGATCCCAAGTTCAAGGCCATCATGAGCAACTTAGTGAGACCCTGCCTCAAAATAAAATATAAAAGGGGTTGAGTGGCTCAGTGGCAGTACAGTTGCTTAGCATTTTTAAGGTCCTGGGCTCAACCTCAGCACCTCATAAATAAACAAATAATAAATGAATAAGTAAATGGTGAATGAATTTTTTTGGTGAATGTATATTTTAACAACAAATTTTAATTAGAAATTTAGGAAGCTGGAGGTGATACTGACAGGCAACGGATCAGTGGAAACTACCTGCATCTGAAACTGACCTTGCAACAAAGTAAATAAACCTAATTTTTATTCTCTATTTACAACTGATTATTGGTTTAAAACACAGCTAGACTACAATAGAGAGATGACAAACAATTGGCTATATTTTACTGTATGCTGTAATATACTTATCAAATTTAATGCTAGTCTATAGACTACAGTTTTCTTGTTCCTGCTAAAAATCTTTGATCTCAGTACTGTGGGAGGGTAGGACAGGAGGACTGCAAGTTCAAGCCCCATGTGGGCAACTTAGCAACTCAGTGAGACCCTGCCTCAAAATAAAAACAAATAAATAAAAGGGTTGGGGATGTAGCTCAGTGCAAAGGCTCTAGGTTGAATCCTCAGTACAAAAAAAAAAAAAAAAAGATGGCTATTACTTTCTCATATTTTTATTCTGGGGTGGCTGATGAGCTTCAAGAACTAGAAGAAAAGGCTTCAAGTCATCAGCTTTGCCTCTCTCTGTCTGCTTCATGCCCACGAATTTCCCACAAGGTGGATAGCACTGGCAGGACTCCTGTCCTGCTCTCAAAAGAGGAAGTCTCCTTCCTGGCTCAGTTAGAAAGAGCCCACAGGAAGACACTGACGGGCTGAGCTGAGCTCACACTCCCAGGCCTTGGACTGGTTTGGAGGAAGGCTGGGTCACGGGAGAGCTGGGACGTTCTGGACGTCTCCCCTGTAGGACATGTCAGCGGGAAGGAGAAGATGGAACAGTTCCCCACAGAGGGCTGGGCTGCTCTCAGATGAGGGGGCTGCTGGCCAGATCAGCATATGACACAAAAATGAAAAGGAGAGGCTACGCGTGGTGGCACATGCCTAGAACCCCAGGTTGAGGCAGGAGGATCACTGAGTTCCAGGCCAGCCTGCACTACATAGTAAGACCCCGGCTCAAAAAAAGAAGAGCTCTTGCACGTAGCCTTCAGAGATAGGTGGCTTCCTGTGGATTGGCCCTATATGACATTGGCAATCTTGGTCGGGTGTGTGAAGGCAGAGGAAAGCTGCTCACCTCGGGGCAGCCAGGATGCAAAGAGAGAGCCGAACAGCCAGCGAGGAGGAGCCTGGGGACCGGATGCAGTCTTGGCCCCGTGGGCCCCACGGCCTTCCCGGCCCACTCTTCAGCTGGGCCCCCGTTTCCATCGCCTCCGACAATGCCATAACGTCTCACCAGCAGATTTCCCCAACGTGAGGCTAAAGTACTCATCCTCCAACCCCTCCCAAAAGCCCAGACTCTTAACCCCTGGGACTCTAGGAGAACATTTCAGATCGAAGCTGTAACATTATTTAAAATGAATTAAAAAGTTAAATATAGCAGTGTCTTTCTTTAAGGGATCCACACTTTTATCACAATTTAATAAGATCAGAATAGCCTGATGGACCAATAACTACCTCACCCTGTATTCTGCCTATGGAAACTAAAGCAAGATGTCTTGGATTTTTTTGTTTTGCTTTTTTTAAAAAATTTTTTTTTTGTCTTTTTGAGACAGGGTCTCACTATGCAGTTCAGGCTGGCCTTGAGCTCACTTTCTAGCCCAGGCTGGTCTCAAACTCACAGTGATCCTCCTGCCTCAGCCTCCCAAGTGCTGGGATTACAGGCGTGCGCTACCATGTCTGGCCCGTTGTTTTTTTAACATCTTGTTTTAGGTTACAGTTAACAAGGAACTGGACTGGCTTCGTGTCCAGTATGTCCTACACTGAAGACCAGTGTCCCAACAAATAAATGCAGCCCACAGACCACTGTGTGATATTTAGCTTTACTTTATAAAAATACACAACTTAAATACATATGACACTCTGTGTACAAGACATAAACAACTCGTAGACTCAACATTTTCAGTTACTTCAACAGAAAGCAGATATGTAAATTACCTTGTAAGAGCAAAGAGTTTATTGATAGACTCTGCATTCACACTCAAAAGGGAAGGAAGCCCAGGGAGCGATCAAAGAGGGATGCTCTTCCAAACTGCTCAACTTTCCAATAAAAGGCATCGCGCCAAGAGGGCCTCTATTGCACAGCTTAATATTGCACTGCTCGTCAGACACAATCTACCTTATCCACACCACAAGTGAAAGCTTTTGTCTTCTCCAGTGATGTTCAAGGGAAAACTCAAGGTCCAAATAGCGTTGACTGTGTCTTAAAATTGTGCTCAATACCAAGTATAAGTATGGACCAACCGCTGCTTCGCTTTGCAATCCTGCAATGGAAATTAGCTCCATTTTGCAGCTAAATTCATTTTTAAAAGTTTTACAAAAGCCTCAAAATGAAACACAATGAAAGTTTTACAAAAGCACTGGCAGCCTTAGAGTGAGCTTGACAGGGTGCAGCGGCGAGAGAAGCGGCATTCCCAGGCCCAGTAAGCTTCCCTGTGCCAGGGGTACTGCCACTGGGAAAGGCCGTTTGCATCCAGCTCCTGGCGCCCGCTTTCTGACGGGACAGGCCCCCTCCCTCCGGCTGCGGCTCGTCTTTGCTCTGTGCAGCCCAGCCACGTAACTGACTCGGCACCTGCAGGCGCTGCTGGTTCGCTCTGCTGATCTTTCAGACGTTTAGCTGCCTTCTCTATGGCTCACTTAACGAATAGTGAATTAGGTACTAGTGCACAGGTATAAAGAAAGCTTTCCCACTTGGGAATTCAACAGATGAGAATATACTAGGGTAAGTTTCCTGAGATAAATGCAAGCCTTAAAGAATGATGTGCAAGCTACAGAATTCTAGCAGTTTATCTTTTTTTTTTTGTTTTTTTTTTTTTTGGTTTTTCTCCGGTACCAGGAACCGAACTCATGACCTTGCGCTTGCCAGGCAGGCGCTTTGCCACTGAGCTAAATCCCCAGCCCTCTAGCAGTTTATCTTAGGGAGCAACATGAAGCCCCCCAACTCTGGACTTTTAAATGAACAGGCTCATAAACCCAAGGACACATTTATATGAAGAAATAAAATCACAGTACTAAAGCGACCATTCAAGAGCAGGCACAGAGGCGAACAGAGAAACAGGAGGAGGGGTATTTTAAAGTGCTTAGGTAGGTTGGAAGATTAAGTTGAAACGCCTCCGGGGATTTTTAATGAGTTTAAAAAGTGTTACTCCTTGGTGACACAGATGTAGAAGACATGGCTTTTAATAATAATAGCTATTCAAACTTTTCATTCTTTTTTGAAAAACAAGACTCTTTATACAAACGTTTTAGCCATTGAAATTATTCTGCTCATTGTGATTCTCACTGATGTATTTTTGAAATCTGAACTGGCTGGAGAACTTTTAATAAGATTGAACTACAAAGCATACATCTGCACCAGGAATTTAAATGAATGCATAGAGATTTGTGAAGTTTTGCAGGAAGTTAGTACCAAAAGATCTTTTCATTGTAAATCATGCTTTGTTATTTCTTAATGGTCTGCTGAAGTATTATGAAAATCAGAAAAAATCTAGGCCCTCGGGGCTAAACTTTCACATGTTAATACTTTTGCATACCTGAAACAGCACATGGCCATCCTGCACATTAATAATGCAGGTGTTGGAAACTGAGTCCCAAGACCTAAAAGCAAGCCAGGGCTGTATTTTGACCAGTCACTCCTACGGGTATGGATGGAAGCCCTCGAAAATTCTCTCTGTGGTGGCTGCTCATCGGCACAATGTAGCTGAATGAGGGAGGGACTGAGTGTAAGAACCACGATGAAATCTGGCACCAGCGGCCACACAGGGCCACCCGCTCAGTGGGCCGTCCGCTCAGTTTGGGCAGAGTGCTGCGTATGACCCCTCTTTCTGTGACTCCTATATTCTGTTGCAAGAGCCAACCAATGTAGGGTACCTCAGGCAAGAGGAAGGGCTTAAGCAAAGCTAGGCCCCAAAAGAACTCTGGAGTTCTGCGGTTCCTGGCGCTAGTTTAAAGGCCAGGGGCAAATCTCATAAAGAAAATATACCAAGTCTCAAATCATTTAAAAAAAAAAAAGCATTTTTGATTATCAGTCAGATGAAAACTCGTATTATAAAGCAACGCTCTAGGGTGGGGATGTAGCTCAGTGGTTAAAGCACTTGCTTAGGAGGTACATGGCCGTGGGTTCAACCAGCAACACCACAAAGACATACAAAATAAAAACACTTCTCTGGCTTCTGATGCAGCCCAAGTACAGCCATCCCAAGTGAAGCTGCTTTGGGAAGAGGCCACCAGACTGCAGTGGCTCGGAATATAAGAAAGTGACTTTTCTTCTTAGGTGATACAGTACATGCTACTTGGCAATCTATATGGGACAGCTGTTTAAAACTCACAGAATAGCAAGGTCTTACACTCTCAAAGCTCCACTTAGTGCAAGTGGTTGCAGCTAAAATTACGAGCCATACAAGGACAGTGATGATGAAATGAGTCATGTAAGAGATGGCTCTGTGAACATGGTAGGAAGTGTCAGCCCTAATACTTGATCCTCATCCATCCCTGTATCCTGAGGAGGAGAATGTGGCACAAGAATATATTTCTCTATGTGAAATTAGTTTTTATAACCTGTAGTTCAAAAATATGACTATTTAGAAATCTGGAGCTCAAGCAGAAACTACAGAGATTCAGCCCCACACAGACCTCAGAAAGTCCTCACTCTCTCTGGTCAACCAGGCCCATGTCAAAGCCTGGAGGGAGGACAGAGGAGCTGTGGCTGGAAGCTAGTGATTCAAGGAGAGAGAGACCCGATGGCAGGTAGGGGAGGGGAGGGGTAAGGTAAGAAGGGGGAAACTGAACACGGCTGGTGAGGAAGCAAGGAGCAAGAGGCTGGGCTTGCTCAGGGGGACCCTGTCTCTCCCTCTTGCCTCTGGGAAATGATGAGGAACAGGAAAAGGGCCCGACCTCAGACAGGACCCTCCTAGGGTTCCAAGAGCGCCCTGCTGGGCCGGCCTTGCCCCCGGGGCCTGCAGGGGCTGTCACCTGGAGGGCCCTGAGCATTTCTGCCCTGGGGTCTGATCCTCACTCCCAAGGGTGTGGTGCCCCCTGCTGCTGCTCCTCTGTGACAGGGGCAAGGCCTCGCTGGGTACAGAAGGGGCAGAAAGAGCAGGCACTGGAACCTTCTCTCTCAGGACTGGCTTATCTCTCCCCCTGGTGGATGGATGAGGGAAGAGACAATGTCACAGAAGGGCTGTTCAGTTCAGAACTGTGTCCTTCACTCCCCAAGCTTCAGAGGGCTGCCCAGAGTCCAGTCAGACTGATGTTCCATAAAGGGCCACGAAAAGAACTCTCAGTTCAGGGAGTGACTGGAAAGGTCACGTCAAACTCTCGGGCTTGGATGCTCTCTGCTAGATTTTGTTATTTCTGTCCTATTTTTTTTTCTTTCTCTGACGATGAATTTAACAAGAAGGAGAAAAAGAAGAGGAAAAAAAAGGGTCTTGCTATTGTGTTCCCTTCCTCTAGGAACCGTGTGGCCCTTTCCCAAGAGAAGCGCCTGGGACACCACCGCTACTGAGCTTGAGGATGGAGGCTGAAACCTTAGATTATCTGACAGTGGGAAATGGGGTATGGCACACAGGGACGCGAGGCTTCTTCCCCTCCCACAGATGCAGTCGCCTCGCTGTGAAACGCCTGTGAGGTGCTAACGGGCCCCAGGGCACTGATTTATACATGACAGCACATGAGGGAACACAGCAGTGAGATTCTGTGAAGAAAACTCCAGGTCGGTTACTTCGCCTCCAGGGGAAGGTGGGGTGCACTTCAGTCCTGGCTGGCTGTCCCCTGGTCTCCTACTTGATGCTTTTCAGCAGGGCTGTCCGGGCGTTCACAACTGCTTTGAAGGCATCTTCACTACCTGGTGCCACGCACTTGTCGGGGTGGAGAAGCACAGCGAGCTTCCGGTAGGCTTTATTGACTTCCTCCCTAGAAGAGAGCCAGCTCTGCGTCACTAACGGGTCGGCCGCAGGCCTGGGCCTCGGCATCTGGATGCACGAGCACACCCGCAAGGGTCACTACCTTTTCTCAGGGGCAGGCCAGCCAAATAAATACCGGGCGATAAAGAAACAAAAGTACAACGCAAAGTGAGCATGCAGACTTGAAGGACGCGGTGAAGGAACGATCAGATGAAAGCACTGGGCTCCTAGTGGGCAACGAGAAAACCTTTGCTGATGGGAGGAATGGAGGCCCGGGCCTGGGGAAGCCAGCTGGGAGTAGCACAGGGCGGGGGATTCGGAGGGTAGCACAGTGGCCAGGGAGGAAGAGCCTGGAAAGCAAAACAGCAAACAAGCCTGGTTTGACCAACAACAGCAATAGTGTTTCATGACAAAATGGCACTGGGAAAGCTATTTCTCAAAGTTGGGAGGCGGGCGGGAAGTCGGGAGGCTAACCCAGGCATGAGTACGAGTTTAGATCAAGGTGTCTGTGGGAGTAAACAAGCAAAGACAGAAGAGACAGCAGAGGACAAGAATCAACAGAAGTGGAGGATGAGTGGAAGAGTCCGTTGGAGGAGGGAAAGGAGAGGGCTGGATAGACACCAGGGTCCTGTAGACAAGCAGGACTGGCCTGGAGGACCTAGACACCATCCGCTCTGTCCCGCTCTTTCTCACCCTCTGATGCCAGGCTGGCTCTGAGAGGTGCTAAGCACGGGGCCACTGCCCTGTTCATACGAAGCTCTGCCTCTACCAGGTGATGTTTTAGAGCTCACCTTCCTTTGATAATCAGGGTACTGCCACTTCATAGGCACAGAGCCTAAGTGCCCTAGCCTTTTATTTATTGATTGCTTGATTGACTGATTGACTGAGGCAGGGTCTCATTATGTAGTAGCACATGCTAGCCTTGAACTCACGGCAATCCTCCTGCCTCAGCTTCCTGAGTGCTGGGATCACAGGTATGTACCACTACACCCAGCCTCCTTTATTTTTACCACAAGGGTTTCTAAACTGGTTCTCCAAATTAGGAAGATGGTCTTTGACAGCTCAGAGGTGATGGAAAAATTATGTAGAGACTGAAATCTCTGGGTCACCTTGACAGTTCCCTGTGTCTAGGGTACACTCCAACTCCAGGGGACTCCTCCAAAGTGTCTTGTTTTAACCTCACGTGTAGCTTTCATACACATGTAATTTTGATATCAATTAACAAGAATGATATTCTCCTTCTCTGAAGAAATTTGAAGCCGGGCATGGTGGCACATGCCTGCAATCTCAGCACTCCGAGTCTGAGGCAGGAGGACTGCTTAGAATTCCAGTTAGTTCAAGGCCAGCCTGAATTACATAGCAAGGCCCTGTCACCAAAAAAAAAAAGTAATTTGAATGGCCAGAATTCTTATTCCTCCAAAAGCCTCTGCCTCTCCTGAGGGAGGACATGCACAGAGCTTAGTGTGTGGCTGGCTTCCTTGCCAAGAGGGCCTTTCAGGACTTCTAGAGGCAGGAGAAATAAGACTGACTTGAGTGTACAACAAATATATCAATTCTGCTGAAGATGAAGACTGATTTAAAGTCCAAGAATAGTAAACATAGTTGGTACTGCACAAATATCAAAATTCTCTGTGACTTAAGAAAATAGTATTTTTAAGATTTTCCCTAAATGTGCTCAGTGCTATAAAATTTGTTAGTGTGACAGACCGCACTGAAAAAAGCTAAGATAAGTATGCATTTATACTGGTCGAAGACATGGTTGAAGACATGGAAATTAAGGAGGTCTGGACATTCCAGAAGATTCCAATTAACCAAAGTGAATAAATAAGGAACAAAAAGGTTTTTTCTTAATAAATACTATTCCAAGTTCATTAATAAGTAGACAATCAAATAGTTTCTTAATATGAGAGCCAGTATCCCTTGCAGATGACAGAGGAGAATTTAGATTGAAACTACGCAACTCTACTATGACATTTAAAAGACACCAGGAAACTCTGTGCTCTATCCATGAGGTCATCTGAATTCCTTCGAAAGTCCAAAGTGTCTGCAATACACTTGTTGAATGAAGAGCAACCAATAATGGTCGGCTCTTCCCCTCTCCTTCCTTCCTTCTGCACTTGCGGACATGCTACGAGACCAAAATGGAGAAGAGATGTTTAATGCCTTTGTATAGACAAGGTAATTCTGAGGTACAGTGTTTCTGTCATGGGACTCAAGGTGAAAAGCCGGAAAGAAAAAGCCCAGGGTGGAGGAGAGTCCTGATGCGAGTAAGAGCCTTGTAATTACACTATGTGCAGTCAGGGCAGAGTTATAGCATTGAATTACATTATCATCCCGGGTGATCATTTATTTGCATAAGCAACAAAGAACAGGAGGTATATTTCTTTTATTCCCGAATAAGTCTTTTTTGGCTAAAATAAAATAAATACACCCACAGGTGAGGAACTGGCAGGGTTCTGTGAAAGACAGAGGCAGATGGGCAGGCACATGGGTTAAGGGATAAAGACCAATACTACCACCAACCCCTGGGGGCCTGAGGGCGCTTATTTTCACTGAATCCCAGTTTTCCACCCACAAAATGAAATTTTTGGATAGGCTGATTGCTAAGACTCTCTTCCTCTAAAATTCTATGATTTAAGAATTTTCATTTGTAATTTTTTTTTAAGGTTACATTAGCTGCAAGGTTTGGTCCCTTAGCAGGTAACTGTGCTTTCTGTTTTGTATCTTTGGGATTCAGTCAAATCAGGGAAGCAGTCATTACGGAATCTATTTCACACACTGTTATGTTTCTAGCCAGTTAAAAGAAATTCCATTACACTTATAATTTTGGCAACTGAGTCCTTCTCTTTGTGAGCACTCTGCTCTAAATACACTGGCATGCTGCTTACCTTGAGGCCCCAGGTTTGACGCCTAGCATGTCCCAGCTGTCTTTGCTATTTCGAATTCTACGAATGGTATCTGCTTGTTCTTTGGTGAAGCTAGTGCTATTTGCGGCAGGACGTTTCCCACCATTTTCACATAAATCAACTATGGATACATAAAAGGCCTGCAAGAAAAAACACAGCACATAGTAGGATAGCTTGTATGAAGAAAGGAATTTCTTTTAAGCAGCAACTTAATAGCTTCTAACATATTTCAGTAATTTAAAAGTCATTCATTGCCAGGCATGGTGGTGCATGCCTGTAACCTCAGCACTTGGAAGGCTGAGGCAGGAGGATAGTTGCGAGTTCGAGACCAGCCTGGGCTACAAAGTGAGCTCAAGGCCAGTCTGAACTGCATAGCGAGACCCTGTCTCAAAAAGTAAAAAAAAAAAAAAAAGTCATTTATTAATCACATACATACTTTGGAAGATTTTCTTTCCTGTTATACTGTATTTAAGTATGTTCATGTATTTTAATAAAAAAGTATAAGGAATGATATTAAATGGCTCATAATCCTACTCTCAGGTAATCTCACACTTGAGTTAAAAAGTAATAGATGAGCACTGTTGGGGTATTCAGATGATAAAAAGTGTAAAATAAAAACTGCATCTCCCTGTCATTCAAATTCTTCTAAGATAACCATTCCTTTTTTTTTTTTTTTTTTGGTCTTTTTGAGACAGGGTCTTGCTATGCAGTTCAGGCCAGCCTTGAGCTCACTTTGTAGCCTAGGCTGGTCTCGAACTCACAACGATCCTCCTGCCTCAGCCTCCCGAGTGCTGGGATTACAGGCGTGCACCACCACGCCCAGTCTAAGATAACCATTCTTAACATTTTTTGGAGTGTCCTTCCAGGAAAATTTGCTACCAAAATACCATTTCATACACATATCCGCGCCCTATAAACACATAAGCGATCAGATCAAACATACTGCTTAGCAGCTTGCATTTTTTTCATATAGTAATACATCTTGTGTTATTTCTATAGCTACATTTAGAGCCCTTTGTTTTATTTAATGGCTTCAGCATTTTACTGTGTGGCTGTACCACCATTTACTTAACCACTGTTTACTCTTGAGCAAGCTGGTTGGTCCCAGTTTCTGAGCTACTGAAATATTTTTAAGTGTCTGCATCTCTTCACAGTTGTGGCGATAATGCTTTAGAGTAAATTTCTAAAAAGCAGCATCAGAGCACGTGTGGACTTATTTATTCTGAGTACTGCTGTCCACAAAGGCTGTACCAGTTTACATTCTCATCACTATGTGCATGGGCCAGAGATACAGCTCAGTGGCACAGTACCTGCCTGGCAAGCACAAGGTCCTGAGTTCAATTCCCGGTACCAAAAAGAAAAAGAAAAGAATAGGTGCAAGTTCTCATCACTATGTGTGAGAGCACCTGTTTCTACTATACCTTTATTTTTATTTTGTTTTTTGAGACAGGGTCTTGCTGTGTAGTTCAGACTTGAACTCACTATGTAGTGTCAGCTGGCCTCTTACTCACTGAGATCCTCCTGCCTCAGCCACTCAAGTGCTGGTATTATAGGCATGTGCCACCATGCCCAGCCTTTCTCTACACCCTTATTAACACTGAGCATTGTTTAATTTTTGCTAATGTGATGCGTACCTCACAATTGTAGTTTATATTTCTTTAACTGTAAGTGAAGGTGTCTTTTCATATACTTAAGGTCTTTTCTTTTTCTGCAAGTTTCATATTCTTTGTGTACTTTCAGGATTTTTAGAAGTGAAATTTTTTTCAGTTCTGCTCATGTTTCATGCTTTGTGTACCACTATTACTAAATAACCTTACTAAAAATATCAATTTAATACACTACAGCTCCTCTTAACTGATATATCTCTTCTTTCCTCAATTTCATTTTTGGATTCTTCTATAGTTCCTATTATCTTCTTAGAAATGTATTTTAAACTTCTTATTCTTTTTTTTTTTTTTTTTTGAGACAGGGTCTCTTTATGTAGTCCTGGCTGGCCTTGAACTCAATTCTCCTGCCTCAGCCTCCCAAGTGCTGGGATTACAGGTGTGTACCACCACACCTGGAAAACTTCTTTTTCTTATTGCCAATAATAGCTAATCAACTTGGTAACCTCACAAGAACCCTTGACATCTGAAAAAAATGGCATCAAAGAAAAATCACTGGAGACAGATAAGAGAAGTGCCGTCTTGGTTTAACGTTACTCTACCTGTTAACAATGTCACTCAGACAAAACCAAGTTCCATTCTGACATAAAGCATCTATTAAATAGATAGGAAATAAAGACAACATTTATTAAACAGAACCAGCAGGAAAGCACCTCTAAGTGCTCACTTACAGTATGGCGTTATTCTACTCTCGATAGCTTTTTTTCCCCATGAGACTAATTCATCTATTAGTTCTATACAAGATTTATCTAAAAGGATAAAAGCCCCTAAAGGGGTTTGCCGGTATTTGCTAGTGGTATGTACTGGTACTGCGGTGATAGAAAGAACAGTGGGAGTGAAGTTAAAGGCATGTTCAGGGGCTGGGGATTTAGCTCAGTGGCACAGCGCCGGCCTGGCAAGTGCAAGGTCGTGAGTTTGATTCCTGGTACCAGAAAAAAACAAAAAACAAAAAACAAAAACAAAAAACAAATAAAGGCATGTTCACATTTCACATCGGAGTTCCAGCCAAGACAGAGTGATGAAAACTGGACTAGACCACCTGCCATAAGTGACCAAACTGGACACACATTTGAGGTGACTATTCGCAGGGAATGGACCACAGCAAATGCGAGACCGCTCCCTGAGAGGTCAGCCGCACAGTCACCCGGGCCTGTACCTGGAGGCCATCCCTGACCACATTGCCGAGAGCTGGAGTCTGAGCAGACACAAAGTGCTACTGAGGAAAGGGGCAGCGAACAGAGTCTGAGGCTGCTGAGGTGGCTGAGAACTGCAGAGCAAGGAGTGGCAAGAGGGAGCTGGGCAGCGCTGGCCCCAGGTCATGCGGGGTTCTCTGAGAGTCTCAGCTGAGGAGCAGGCCACCCACGCACAGACAGCGATCATCAGCACTTAGCAGGCAACAGCTTCTACAGGGCTGAGCACAGAGCCAAAGCACTAGAGGTCCCGCGGTGCCAGGCAGGAGTTGCCCTTACCAGAGTGGAGAGATGGGCTTCACACCTCATAACAGCCCTAGCACCGCCCCACAGAAGGCTGTGCCTTAGGAGATGGACATATCCTAACAAAGCAAAAGCCAGGAGCCAACCAGATCTGTAAGACGGTATGATGTGAACACAGACTGCCACACTAGAAGGGACCGGGAAACACAGGAGCAATCAGATCAGACATACTGCTTAGCAGCTCCCTCCAGCTCCCTGTTAGTAAGGCACAAACAAAGCCTGATATTGTCACTGGAATGTGCTGGAGTCTGAGCTACCTGCTGACACGAGGATCAACATTCTTCTGAGGAAGACAAAAGAAACCTAGGGTCTCTAAAATATATCATCCCCGAGTCTGGTACTCAATCAGGCATGCTCATTATTCAAGCGAACAAACAAGAAAATGTAACCAACAGTCATAAAAAAACATAGTCAATAGAAACTGAATCCAAGATGGCTCAGATGCTGAACTTAGCAAAGACTTAAAAAAACAGATATTATAAGTACTTAAAAGAGGTAAAGGAATATATGTTGAGAGAATTAAAGGAAAATAAATTTTTAATAAGAGGCTGAGGGCCGGGCTGGGGATTTAGCTCAGCGGCAAAGCGCCTGCCTGGCAAGCACAAGGTCGTGAGTTCGGTTCCTGGTACCGGAGAAAAACCAAAAAAAAAAAAAGAGGCTGAGGGCCACCTATAGTGGCACACACATCATCCCAGCACTCGGGGAGGCTGAGCTAGGAGGATTTCTGGGAGTTGGAGGCCAGCCTGGGCTACAAAGTGAGTTCAAGGCCAGCCTGAACTACATAGCAAAATTAAATCTCAGTGATTGCCTATCTCAAAAAGAAGAAGAAAAATAAGACAACCAAATACAAATTCTAGAACTGAATTGAAAAAGTCACTCAGTGAGTTTACAGGTTTTCAGTGAATTTTAAGTCAGATCAACAGAAATGATGTAATTTAGAACACAGAAAAAATTGGAGGATAAACAGGGTCAGGAACTGTGGGACAAAATCAAATGGTCTAATACACATGCAACTGGAGAGAGTGAGAACGGGGAAAAACATTTTTGGGGAAATAATGGTTACACATGAAAACAAAGATTAAAAAATCCCAAATTTGATGAAAACACCCACACACCCATCTAAGAAACTCAACAAATCCCAAAGAGGACAAATACAAGGAGAACCACAACTTGATGTATCGGAGTCCAACTGCTGAAAGTCAAACACAGAAAAGCTCTCGAAAGCAATCGGTGGAGGAGAAAAGGCACAACGTGCACACACGAGCAGCAATAACAGTGGGAGCTACGTGTATAGCACACGGCAGAGGCCAAGACAACCAACAACTCCTTTAACACCCACAACTGCCGGGCGTGGTGGTGCACGCCTGTAATCCCAGCCAGCACTCAGGAGGCTGAGGCAGGAGAATCGTTGCAAGTTCGAGACCAGCCTGGGCTACAAAGTGAGCTCAAGGCCGGCCTGAACTGCATAGCGAGACCCTGTCTCAAAAAGACCAAAACAAAACAAAACAAGTAACACCCGCAAGAAACAGAATCAATGGAATCGCTGCCTGACTTGATCATTACACACTGCAGATGCGTACCAAGTTATGTCACTGGACCCCATAAAAGATGTACAGTGGAAATAATAATAGAATACAATTTTAAAAGAAATTTAATCTCAGTTATTACTTATGTCCTTTAGACAAATCTACCCTTATGGGTCCTCATCAATGAAAAAGGAATAACACGCACTGTTGTGAACAAGCCTCAAATGAGATGAAACACGTAAACATCCCCAGATTTGTAAAACATTACTCTAATGGTTAAGAATCATTGTTGTGCACATGAAAAGAACAGACAGCGTGGCTACACAACATCAGCCTGACCTTGAACTAGAAGCTACTGATGTCTAAGTCAGCCTGTCAGCCAAAGATAAACCTGTCTTCTTCAAGTAGGAGGGTGGCAGTGTGTGAGAGGGAGATTCAGCCACAAAGATTAACTACAATCCCACTCAATAATTAAAAACAGCTCTTTAGAATATAGCTACATTATCTGAAAGGCTAAATTTCCCCAAGTATCAGATATATTTGTAAGGAAAATACATTATTCATACCATCACTTCCAAATGTATCTATAATTAAGAACTTACTTTATAACTTAATAGTTTTAAATAGCCTCCTTTCCTTAAAATTATTCAAGATCAGGGTTTAGAAAGAGATCACTTATTCCCGTTGCCATGTGAGTGCATCTTTTGCTGCCTCGTTGGAGAGGCCTCATCTTCTGTGTGCCTGGCTGGATTCCACACAAAGAGTTTCTTACTGTCTGGTGGTATTACCTGTAACACCGTTGACCAGTGGTCATTTTAAAGAAGATGTTTGTCTCACTTAAGCAATACAGTAACTTGTTAAACCTGACCATCAGAATTACCTGGAGAGCTTTCGTAACTTACAGATTCCTAGGTTCCACTGCAATGTTAAATATCCAATAGGTCTGGAGGGCTGGAGTCCAGAAATCCGTTTTTGAAAGAATTTCTCTAGGTAATTCTGATGACTGGCCAGGTCTGATTTATAACAGACAGCACAGAGATCACGTGTGCATGTATGCACGTGCGAGTGTGCACATAAACACACACACAGTATTTTCTCTTTCTCAGTCCCTTTTTGTCTCTCTCCAGTTTCTTTCAAAAGCATGTCCTCCTTTTTTTGTTTTTTTTTAAGTCAGGGTCTCACTATGTAGCCCAGGCTGGCCTCAAACTCTTGGCGATCCTCCTGCCTCAGCCTCTGAATACTGGGATTATAGGTGTGCACCACCAGGACCAGCTCAAAAGTACTTACTCTAATGAAAATAATTCCTATTAGTTTTTTTGCTTCTCCTAATTTAAACTAAACACCGGCATGGCTGGCCTTGATAGAGACACAAACCCTAAAGCAACAAAATGTGAGGTTACCTGGAACATCTCATTGATTCCTTCTCCAGTTTGGGCTGAAGTCTCAAAGTAGAGGAACCCTCTGCTCTCAGCCCAGAGCCGCCCTTCACTTTCATCTACACAGCGGTGCTTGGCGCAGTCGATCTGAAGGGGGGCAGGCAGAGGGAAAGTCCAACCTTGGCTCACTAGAACAAGCCCAGTGAGCCTTTTGTCAGTTCTTTACCAAAGCAAAACAAAATCTTTATTTATTTATGTATATTTTTGCAGTGCTGGGGATGGAACCTAGGGCCTCACACCTGCCAGACAAGTGTTTTACCGCTGAGCTATTTGCCCAAGCCCAAATACTACTTTTAATGAGGCCCAGTACCAGTATACAAAATTACCAGGAGCAAGAGACCAAACATAAGAAATTAAAAACTGAACATAGACTGTTTTTCTACGTGATTTTCAAGCACACTTCCGCCTCCCCCTTCAGGAAGGCAGCTGCTTCTCACTTTGGTGACAGCTGCTTCCTCATGCCTGCCGCACCCCAGGGGCCACGCCCTGCTTGCCACAGCACAGAGCCCAGAGCCCTCAAGCGATGCCGCTCCTCTGTGGGGCCACAGTAGCGTTAGGTCCAGATACAAAAAGGGTGCAGACCCTCACACACCAGGTTTGGGGCTTTGCTGCGTTTTGTATCTTAGAGACACATGTTTTTGACTCCTATGCTAATGAATAATGAATTTACTTTTCTTTCTTATTGGTTCCCCTACTACTTTATTGGTGCTTCCAACTAGAAAGGCGAGCATGCCAGTCCCCGAGCAGTTACCTTGTTGGCGCACACCACAAATACAATGTTGTCCACGTTCCCGTGAGGCCCCAGCTCCTGCTTCATTTCTGCCAGCCACATGTCCAGAGCGTCAAAGGACTCCTTCTGCCCAACGTCGTAGACCAGGATCACGCCCTGCGTGTCCTTGTAAAACTCATTGCGAACCTTCAGGTGGAGGCACACGTGTAGGTTTTGTGATTTGATAAGAATGTATCTTACAATCGTCAACTTAGCAAAGTGCATTCTTTCATGAACTCATAGTACTTGATGTATCTCAGTATTTTACTGACTTTAGAGGACTTTTTAAGACACCAAGGTAACATAATAAAATGTATGTATTTTTATAGAAAGACTTAAAATCTATTTCTAAAGAAGGCCCCCCTGCCCACCTCTCTTCAGCTCTAGTTCCAAGCCCCAGAGGCAAGCACTTTTACTTGCTAGTAGGCCTTAAAAGAACACCCGTTCTATAGAGCTCTTCTTAGAGAGGCAAGTGAACAATTTAAAAGAACTTACAGCAAAAAAGAAGCAAGTGTGAGGATGGGGACAGCCTCTCCATCACAACCCAAAGCCAGCTTTCCCAGGGTGCCTGGCAGAGCATCCCTGATTTCTGAGGTCCGGGCACCAACTGAGAACTCCGCACTCAGACCCTCAGTGAATGACAAGGGCACAGCTTGGAGGCACAAGGGTCTGGGTCCACACTTACTTACTTACTAGTTGTGTGATCTCGGACAAGTCACTTAACCTTTCTGCGCCTCAGTGTCCTCATCTGTAAAATGGGGATAATACTACTTCACAGGATTACTATGGGGCTTAAGTGAGACAATGGAGGGAAAGCCCTTAGCACATGGTGCCTGGAAAACTTTCTTCCTGCATTCTTCTCTGACTGGCCTTTGTGTCTCATCAGAAGTGGCAACTTGCCTCTGGGCATAGCTACGAGCCCAGGAAGAGGTGGCATCAAGGACAGGGCAGAAGTATACCCTGAAGTTGCAGAGGCCACGAGAGGGTGGCTGGGTGAGGAGGCTCCAGGGGAAAGTGTGGTAAGGACCTTGACAGAGGCCAGAGTCACAGTTTCTTTTCACAGATTCTGGAATGTTCTCGGCTCAAGATGGACATGTAGTAAGAAATGCAGATGTCTTCCACACAGGAGTTGTGGGTTTTTGAGCCCAAGACAGACACCTGGACCGAGAATGTAAGGGTCTATTAATCTACAGACGCCTAAGACACTACGGCCCCCACGCGAGCACCAACGAAACAAAAAGGAACGGAAGCCTCTGGCCCTGAGTTCTTTTCTGGCTGCAGTCCCGGGCTCTGCCTCCCTCTGCAGCTTCTGCCTTGGCCCCAACACACTGTTTCCCAGGGCCTTGAATTCTCTCTCACCAACTCTTCTCCGTAGCAGTGGAGAAGCTCCAGTCCTGTCCCAGGCTGTGGTGGCTTAGATCTGCAATGTCCCCCCAGAGGCCCCCATGCTGGGGCGGCTCTGGGAAGGTGACTGGATCACGGAGGTGCCAGTCTCATCGGCGGACTGCTGTTAGGACACGGGGCCTGCTCAGAAAACAGGGGGTGACCTGGAAGGGCGTGCCTTCCTCCGTCTCCTTCCACTCTCTGCTTCCTGGCTGCCACGATGTGAGCAGTGTTTTGTCCACCATGCTCCCCTGCCATCCTGTTTCTGCCCTGGAGCCAGCTGACCAAAGTCTGGAACTGTGACCGTCTCTCCTCCTCTTAGCTGTGGGGGTCAGGTACTGCATCCGAGACGGGAAACTGGCTAAGACCTGGGCCTCCTCCTCCTTTCCGGGTAACAACCCCTTCCACAGTCTGGCCCATGAGACTCTCCAAGATGAGCCTTCTTAGGGGAGCATCCGGACCTAACTTGCCTCTCAGGTCAGTACCAGACCCTGGCAGCTTAATGTCCTGTTGGACTCTCAACCTCTGTATGTACAATGGGAAAGCCTTCCACTCATTTCTTTGGAGGCTCTCGGACATCAGCAACGAATGACCATCATTCCCTGGTCACTCAGGTTGAAGGTACGGTGTCAACTTCTGCTGCCTTCTTCTTAGTTACCAGATTCAGACAAACCAGTAGAAGCTACATCCGCCACGTGTCCTCACCTGCCCTTTCCTTCCGGTCTCGTGCCGACATTACCTCTTGACTGCACTATTCCCAGGAGTCTGCTGAGTCATCTTCCTGGAAGTACGATACTGTATGTATCTGTCTTTCTAAAGCTCTGGCTCGTAATTTCCTTGGTGTCTCTCCACTGCCAACTCTCCAAAATTCAAACTCAGTTAAACAAAAAGTTTTGATCAATCCTCGTCAGCCTTCTCAGTCTCTACCCTCTGACCTACGATCTGGATAATCTCTTTCCCTTTACCTGCCCTACGCCTTGCAAACTCCACCTGGAGAGTCCTCTGTATCTTTAATCTTGCAAGATCTCGGTATCCTGCTGAATTTCCCATGAAGGTTTTCTGCCTGGTACCTACCATCTGACCCTTTCCCCTGTGAACAGAAAGAAGGTTCCCGTGTCCCCTAGGACACCACAGCCAGGTGTACTTCTAATTGTGCTCCTGTCACTTCCTGTCACTCTCACGGCTGGTGGCACATCCAGCTGTCCTTCCACTAGGCTGCAGACGACATGAAGGCTTGTTTCTCGATGCATCCGTGCTTGGCTTACCCACAGGCCTGGCGGATACAAGTGTCTGAGACTCTATAGAACTGAATGGCTGCATGGGTCTTAGTAGAGAATAAAAGTAGTGGCCAAAGGGGGGAAAATTTCAAATACAGGTCATGTTCTCCAGTGACAGGTGTGTAAGTAAAAGTAAACTAATGCCAGCTCAGTGAGTTTCTTTCAAGGATGTAATTTCAATTCTGAGTTCAGTGAAGAAGTACCTACATAGTCTAGAGTAAGTTATTTTATTAACCCCAACCTTGGTTTCCTCATCTGTAAAATGAAAGGACAAGGTAGATGTTTCCCAACAGTTTCATTATTCTAGTTGCCCAAAAAAGCTTCTGCTCTTAGTTCTGGCTGGCTCAATGCAGTCAAGGTTTAACAAGACAGGATGCTAAAAGAATGCAGACTGTTTCTTAAAGTAGATATGGAAACAAGCTGGTATTACAGCTAAGAAAGCTGTTATTTTAACATCACTGGGGCCTTGGAAAGTTCCTGTGAGACCCTCTAACTCAGACCTCAGGTGAGTGGCTCAACGACACAAGGCTGGGGTCTGAGACAGGCCCCACTCCCCTCCAAGGTTCTCCCACTAACTGCTGTGAGGTTGCCATCTCACACTCTAGGTGGACTGCCCTGTTCCAGCAGACCCTCTGGGAAACCTGCCAAGAGGACAGGTGACAATGGATGCTTCAGTGGTGGACAGGCACAAGGTTCTGAGGAAGCCAGAGGTCATAGGAATGGCTACGATGTTTCACTAGCTAGGTGCTGAGCAAGGTTATACTTTGGTCACCTTGGCACTTAGAAAGATGATGATGGCTTTAGTTTTGCCAACAAGGAGGGTTCAAATGGTGCACACTTGTAACCCCAGCACTCGGGAGGCTAAGGCAGGAAGATCACAAGGCTATACAGTGAGACCCTGTCTCAATAAAACAAACCAATAAATGAAAGGAGGGTCCAAGACACAAACAGTAACTATCAGACTAAAAAGAGAGCAAGGCTATTTCAGTGAAAAGATACTTTAGAAGTGGTGATTTAGAAGGTGCTTCTATTAACCACACTTCTACTTTTATAAATCGCTGGAAAAACCAGCTGTTACAGCTTGTATTTAGATGTGCACCACCCCCCCAAGTCTCAATGCAGTTATAGGTGTGGCTTTTTCAGAGGTGGCTGGATCTAGTATGTGTGATGCTAGGATTGATTCATGGTGCAGCACTAGGCTCAAGGGCACTAGGAGGAAGGTTGTGAGTGATACCCATCCTAAGTCGTCGAGATAAGACAGAAAGGGTAGGAAGACACTGTTAAGGCCCATTGTTGCTTTGCTATAGTCTGCCCACCATGAACTGTTCTCCTCTGCTAGGCCACCCTGCCTTGGAGCCAGCTGATTATGGACTGAAACTGTGAGCTAAATAAACCTTTCCTCCCTTAACTTTGGGTGTTGGGGTTTTGTCTTAGCAACAAGAGAAAAGCAACTAAGATAACAGCCATTGCCATTTGAGGATGCAAAAAGAGCCTAGTGTCTAATGATGGAAAGTAACAGGAACCCTCAGGGTGTTTCAACCTGTTAGACAAAACCCAGGATGCTGTATAGATTCTCAGCTCCACACCAGCAACAGGGGACCATCTACAAAGGATGCAACTAGAACGCTGGCGGACACAGCCATTGTGGGAATAGAGATGATTTCCCTCAGGAGAAGCAGACTCTAAACAGCAGAAAGGCTCTGTTGTAGAAACACAGACCCAGTCCCTGTTTCTCCAAAACCTTGGCCAGAATCATGGTCCAAGTCACAGGAGGGTGGCTTTGCAAAAGCGAAGTTGCTGACTTGGGGCTTTTAGCTCTGTGCAGGATGAGCTCAGGAAGCAGCAAGACCCCCCCATCACTAGAGGTATTCATTCTTCAAACTCTCACCATCCTCCTCACTCAGACTGTGTGGGGGCATAATTCTGTCCCTAAGAGTCCCAACCTACAAAACTCTTACGTATCCACCAACTCTCAGTTTAAATCCTGTGTCCTTAAGCAGGGCTTCTTAGCCTCTGGGATAAGTTGGGTCAGGATATTAAGTGCGCCTCAGCATTCGGTCATTTCTTTAATATGTGTCTGCTCTAGCATATTACATTCCACGACAATAAGGGGCAGCATGTTTCTAACATCCAGCATAGACCCTGGGGTGTAAGTATCTGGGATTGAATGAAGACGACTGACCTGGAAGAATACTGTGAAAACAAATCCTGCAAGGGGCACGGCTGTGCACTACATCAGTTCTCAGGCATCTTCTAACTCGCTCCATTCCCACAACTTCGGTGTAATACAAGGTTTTTGTTCTTTTCATTTTTTTTTTTTTTTTGGCAGGGTCGGGGGAGGTCAGCGCTTGTGACCAAATCAAGGCCTTAGGCATCAAATCTACCAACTGAGCTAGGTCCTAGCCCAGTAATCTAAGAGTCACATGGGCATTTCTGGTAGTTAGAATCTACATCAAACTCGTGGTCAACCAGACCATCATGCCTTTTTCACTGATAGTATGTAAAACTGACTTAACCCACTGTAAGGCTTCAAACAAAAAGATTCATTTTACCTAAATACTTGGGCATATTCACAAGATGGAAGATTAGGTAGTTACTGAAAGCACACCCCTGCAAAAGATGGAACAGGTATAGATTTCTCTATTATAAGCAAAACCCTGGATATTATATATAAAGTATATATTTAAGTAAAAGTAAAAATCCTAGGCATTACATATAAAGTATTTATTTATACCAGGTATACAGGTCAGGTACAGGTAAAAATCCTGCAGATTAGGCATACAACATGTACGTACAAACTTCTCAAAGGTGGGGAGGAGGCAGGAGACAGGCTGGGGCCCTGGGACCTGAGGGGTGGCCATGGGGGTGAGGTTCTGGGTTATCTTTTGCCTCATATGTCTCAGACTTGGAGCAGAAGCACAACTCAAAAATGTCAAGAACTGTAGACAAATTAAAGCACTATCAAAAATCAGATCTCTCCAGCCAGATGGTGAGGAAAGAGGCAGTTTAGAAAGATTTAAAAAAAAAATTCAGAAAGTAATTACTCTAAAACCAGCCAAACACCTTAGAGAAACCTGACTTACAAGCCCTAACCACCCCAGTGAAGACTGAGTGAAAATTTTAGCAGTGAAAAACATAATGGCAGTAAGAAGCTTAGGGTGGGCTCAGCAGCCCAAGTTAGGGGTGAGTGGGGAAATTAGTGAACCGGAAGGGGGAACAATAGGAATTACCCAAACTGAATTACAGCAAGGAAAAAAATTAAAACAATGAACGGAGCTTTAGAACCAACCGAGCTAAAACAAAAGATCAGAATCCAGGAGGAAAAGAGAGAGTGGCTAGGGAGCACCACGGAACAGGCGAACATGGCCAGGGGGCTTGCTTGGTTCCTTCCGGGAAAGCAGCCCAGGACCTGGAGCGGCAGGAAAGAACATGCGGGACACTCCGGTGACAGAAGTGACATCACCGGGTCGTTAAGTCCGAGTCTAAATGTAATTACCTTCTCAAATTTGGGGCTGAGGTATTAAGTAAAAAAGCAAAAGTCCTTTGAATGTTGAAATGTCTTACTTATATGAATGTTTCGAACATTGGCAATTAAACTTCTTACCCCTATTTAGAGTGGCAGCACAAAATATCAACAGGTGCCTACTAAGAACCAAGGCCAGCCACAAACATGAGCTAAACGTACCTAATTTTACATAATCCGAATATCGGTGGCTTCAATTCAGGATCTTTCCCCGATCCCACTGACAATACTGGATGTAGGTTTTCTCAAAAAAGGCGTTCTTACCTCATAGAAGAAGGGATGTCCGGCCATATCAAAGATGTTAACTTTGATTTCTCTGTCTCTGACTTGTACCCTGAAATGTTCAAATGCAAACAATCCCAAAGGTCATGGTTTCCGATTCACGTTAGCATCATTTATGAATTGTAAAAAGAAATACACGTGAAGGAGGAGAGGCTTTCCCTGCGCCTCTTCTTGGCTCCAGATCATTTTTACATTAGGAGCCACCAACTAGGCAGATGATCCTGGCTCCTTACTTGAAGAGCACTGAGCCCTCACTGAGTAAGCACACTCATTTATCTTCACTTTCATCTCGAGCTACTTCAGGTCAGGCCCTTGAGCCAACGAACAGTGGCTGTTACTGGGTACCAAGAGGAAGGAAGACAGAAGGTTTCCTTCCCCTAGGAGGGACCTTAATTATTACTGGTTGTGCCTGGTTACTATGCAGTAGAGTGACATAGACATATTAATGCTGTCTGTTCAATTTTCTTGTAATCTTTATTTGAGCCACAGTTAATCTGTTTTCAGAAACAAATTTGAAAATAACAAAAGCGGAATCATTCATAATAGAATTAACTACTGTTAACACATTAACATCATAGGTATTTGTTTCTAGTTTGTCTCACTATCCTTTGGTGGTATGAAATCTTGAACCCAGGGCCTTCACATTGAGCTACATCCAAACCTACCCACACTTCTTTTTGAGACAGGATCTTGCTAAGTTGCTATGTTGCTTAGGTTGGGCTCAAACTTGTGATCCTCCTGCCTCAGGCTCCATACTGTTGGGATCACAGCATGTGCCACCATGCCTAACTTGTTTCCAATCCTTTTGAAAGAAAAAAATCATCACTGGAAAAGCATGAATGAACATTATAAATAATTTAAAAATCCCAAAAATGAATACTTAAAAGTTATCCCAAGTCCTATCACCCAGAATAGTCTTCATTAATACAGATGAACACCACCACAGGCTTCTTTCTATGCAGAGAGAAGATAAATATAAATATTCTTATAAAAGGGGATTGTACTTTTATAAAAATATATAGCATAAAATTTACTTTTTATTAGATTTAACAGAAGAAAAAGAAACTGAAGAGAATGGGCAGGAATTACTGAACTTTAAATACAAATATTTCCTCAACACAAGAAATATTATTTCTTAAAAGATCCCTGGCTGTGGATGGTGACATAGGCCTATAATCCCAGCTCTTAGAAGGCTGAGGCAGGAGGATCTCCAGCCTGGGCCACATAGTGAATTCAAGGCCAGTGTAAACTACAAAGTAAGAGCTTGTCTCAAAAAAACCCAAAACAAAACACACACACACACACACACACACACACACACACACACACACAAATCCCTGTAAGGCTGTAAGGTTAAAAATAGAGAATATTAACAGTAAATGTACAAGTTAGAGTCATTATCTCTTTAAGTACCATGTTTCAGGCTCGGGCAGCATTGACGTGACTCTGGCTGTGGAATACGAAGACTTCAGAGCTTTCTCTCTCTCAGGGTCTCTGTACAACTTTCTGGCTTACAAACGATTATTCCCTTTCTGTCCTGAAACCACAATTCCTCAGTTGTTTCCCAGACAATAACAGGGCTGGGGAGGTAGCTCCGTGGTGAGTGCACAACAGTAACAGAGCTTGGGCGCGGCTGGCAGAGATCTGGGGTAACTGTTTACAGTTTTAAATTTTTGCCTAAAAGGATAGCAGCTGAGAAGCGGTGGAATTATGATGCGTATGAAGTCAGGGAATAATACAAACGTCTCCACACACTGAAACCTGAAAGGAGTCAGCTTAATTCAGAAGCCAAGAGGAAGAAATTAGGAAAAATGGTGATTCCCTCCCTCCAGGCAGCACATGCCTGAGTGTGGTTTTGGGCTCCCTGTATCCTGACCACGGCAGATTCCTTACCCGGCTCAGACGTGGTGACAGAATCTCAGCGGGGGAGCCCCAGGGATCCGTTCTTTTATAAAGGACACAAGTCATTCCTTTTTCCCCCAGATGGAGCCCAGGCCATCCTCACACAGGCTAGGCAAGCGCTCCACCACTGAGTTAAATCCCCAGCCCACAACTAATCCTTAAGCACGCTGAAATTGGAGTACCCTATTGAAAACAGCTCTACTGTTTACCCAAAACTAAACGCTGCTTTCTTTTTTTATTACTATGTTTGCAGCACATAATGATTACAATTTTCACAGGGAGCTGGTACGTGCATGTGGTACATATTCTTTTCTCTCTTTTCTTGTTTTTCATCCCTTCCCCTTCCCCCCTTCCCTTCTCTTTCCATATGTCTACTTTTCATTTGCAAAAATTCTATTTTTATAATTTTTCTATCCCCTCCTCTTCTCTCTCTCCCCTACAAAGAGCTCTCCACTTCCTCTTTACTTATATCCCCCGCTCTCTCTATATACACATACAAACATATATATGTATGAGAGAAACCACACAATATTTAAACTTGTGTTTCTGATTTATTTCATTCAACATTATGGTCTCAAGTTGCATCCATTTGTCTAGGAACACCTCAAGTGCATCTTTCTTTATAGCAGAGTAGTACTTCACAGTATATAAACACTACATTTTATACATTCATCTGTTGATGGGATATAAGCCACTTTCAAAATTTAGCTCTTATGAATTGTGCTGTTATAAACATGGGCATGCACATGTCATATGATGTCTCTAACTCTTTTTGGAAGAAGCCTGGCAAGAGACTAGCTTGGTCAAATAGAATTTCTCGTTTTAGTTTTTTGAGGCATTTCTATACTGATTTCCACAGTGGTTCTACTCATTTACAATCCCACCAGCAATGTAGACAGAGTTCTTTTTCCCCTGCAGTCTCACTGGCATTTGTTATTATTTGATTTCTTGATGAGAGTCATTCTGTCTGGAGTAAGATGGAATTTTCATTTGCATTTCTCTAATGGCTAGTGATGTTGAACATTTCTTCATGTATTTATTGGCAATCTGTACCTCTGCGAAGTATCTGTTCATTTCAGTTGCCCACTTTTTGATTGGGTCTTTTATAATGAGGGTCTAATTTTTTTGAGTTCTTTGCATATACTAGATGTTAGTTCTCTGCCCAAGGAACAGCTGGCAGAGCTTTCCCCCAGTCCGTAGGTACTCTCTTCACTCTGTTGGTTATTCCCCCTGCACCCTGCTTTCTTCTCCCAGCTGTGGCACATGTGAGATTCTGCCACCTTCCGAATGATCCCACGCTGCTGGTCCCAGCTACCTGTGCTGGGGGAAGACCAACTGTCCTCACCCACGCCAATCAAATCACCTGGGGTTTTTTGTTTCTGTCTTTTGTTGTTGTTTGTTTGTTTGTTTGTTTTTCTTCCGGTACCAGGAATCAAACTCATGACCCTGCGCTTGCCAGGCAGGCGCTTTGCCGCTGAGCTAAATCCCCAGCCCCTGTTTCTGTCTTTTGTATTTTACAGTACTGGGGATTTGTAAACTTGGGGTATTAATTCTAGTTGCCTTCCAGAAGTAAGGTTTAAAATTGAGCCTGAGAGCTGCTGGCATCTACATATAGGAAGCCCACTTAAAGGAAGTCAACAGACAGAGCTGCTCTTATTCTAATCTGGCAAATCTCCTCTTTAAATATCTCTCTTACCTAACAATGAGTACTACTGAGCACCGACTAGAGAAAACTTAGACTAACAGTCTCTTTTTCAGGGAATTTACTTTTTAGCAGGAGCCATTAAACATATACAGATAATAATAAAGCAATTTATGGCAAGTATCATAAATAATACAGAGAATTTGAAGATTTATTTCATTTGTAAAAAGATCCTGCCTGTTGGAGCGGGTATTCAGGATGTCTTAAGGGAACAGGAGGATTTTTCACTCTGAAGGAAGTTGTGGGGGAAGGAGGGGCCAGAGTGAATGGCACTGAGATGGGGACATGCTGGGGCTTCAAAGACGGAGGGCGAGGTGCACACAGGCTGGAGTAAGACGAAGGGGAGAGGGCTGCAGTGGTGAGTGCCTGCGGTTCCCTGTCCAGGAGGCTCGCTGTCTACCCAGTTCCACTCTTGGGCAGTGGGTTATGTTATTAGCTGAATCCTCCCTCCCCAAGCTCAATCCCCTCTTGATTTACTTCCACATCCCCACTTGCACTCAAACTTTACTGTTCCCAGATGATTTTTACTGGATTCCAATATGCTATAAAGATTATAAACCAGTAAGGGTTGTTCTCTGATAGAAAAACTTCCATTTGGTATTTAGAGTGGTTAGAATCTTTCAAAAACAATATAAAAACACACCTGAGTGTAGGGCCTGCTCGTACAGAACATGTTTCCTGAAAAGCTGCCTCTGCCAGTGCAGTGTGCCCCGATCTCCTCAGTGCGGGTCCTCCTCTAACACAGCCTGCGGAATGAGCCAGCATAGCCCCCCCAGACGGTGCAGGAGGGCCCGTCACCACATACTGTGAAGCCCTCCTCTCCCTTTCTCAACTTAACTTCAAAGTTTCTATTTCAAGATGACCTGTACAAGTGCACAGAGGCAAATACTGATCATTTTAGGAGTTCTGAATTTCTGTTCAGTTTAGAAGCCCAGGGAGCCAATATACTCACTTTGTGACTCCATAGTCAATTCCAATTGTTGCAAGGTATTTGGACACAAATCTTTTTTCACAGTAGCGCTTTATAATACAGCTCTAAAAAGATAAAAACACATGCACTTAGTAAATGCACAGTGGGAAGATACACAAAATATGCACATTTCTTAATAATGCTTTCTTTGATCACCACTACGAAAAAGTGTTTTCAAAAGCCAAAACTATAAATAAATAAAACAAAGTAAAGATTTAAAAGAAAAATTTGTACGGTCTTTCCTTGATACTACAAATGTGTCCAGTTTTGTTCTCAATTCTTATGTGCTTTTCTTTTCATTTTTTTTCCCTACGTGCTTTTCTTTTGAAGATTCTTTTCTATTCTTATGCTTCCAACACACCACCAAAAATCTATGTTTAGCCTTGAGTTCCCTCCGAAGACCAGAATCAACAGCTCCTAATATCTAGTTCACTCGTTTCCACTTAGGTGTCCTGCTGCCACCCCAGATTCACCATGTCCTGAAGTGAACTACACACACATGAAAACAGCTCATCCTGCTGACATACAAATTCTGTTAATACCACCATCTCCCCAGTCACAGGACCAAAATATTAAAGTCGCATCTGATTCTGGGCTAACCTTCCGATTCTTCTCAACCTTTTTAATGGGTGTTACATCTTCCTTGCATTCCAGTGTCTATGGATAACACCTGGGTTAGATGCTCGTCATCTGCTCCCACTCAAGCAGAGCAAACTCTTCACCGCTCTCTCCGTCTCCCCACCCCGGCCCCCTCTGGAATGAGCTTTCCCTCTTTTTTCTACATCTTCCCTATCCTTTCAGGCAGATCAAACTCTGGGCATCCAGGTGCACCTGATCTTGCCTGCAGCTGGACTCTCTGTGTATGTATACCATGTGTCTGAGCCCCTCTAGCTTTTACATGTGTGTGTATATGTTACACAAACACACACACACACACTATCTGCCATCGGTCACACACTGCCTTTTATTGTTATTTTTTTTCCACATGTATATATTTACCTTATCTCTTCAGCTAGACAATAAACTTCTACCTTTCAGCAACCAGCTCAGTGCCTTTCATATAGTAAATTTAATAGTCACTGAATGAATATAAAAAGCAAGCATCAATTGTGTTAGGAAAGCTTGCATAATTTCTGATCGTGAATAGTAATGAAAAACCATTGTAAATGACTCAAGTGTTAACAACAGTTCTTAGACTCATAAAACATAATTTACTTGAAGTGCTGGTAATGGAGTTTATTCTACTCAAATTCTTTCCTAGGCCTCAATCTAAATAGACAAGATAGTTCACGTTAAAAGTATTTAATATGCTCATTGTGAACTGAAGGGAAAAGAGCTACATCACCAGCCCTTTTTAAAAGTTGTTTTATTTTGTGACAGGGTCTCACTAAGTTGCCCATGCTGGCCTCGAACTTGTAATCCTCCTACCTCAGCCTCCCAAATGGCTGGGATTACAGATATGCCAGACTTCTTTAGAGTGACCACTGTCAAGGGGCCACTTTTTGTGTGTGTGGTGCTAGGGATCGAACCCAGGACCTCACACATGTGAGGTAGGTGCTCTACCACTGAACTATATCCCTACGCAGTGGTTACATTTTTAGAAACACTTTGTGGCTTAAAAGTACTTCTTAAATGTTTTCTTTCACAATATCCTGAAAAAATAAATATAGCCTCTAAAAAATTATTCATGAGATCAAGAGACCAGGAAAACCTTTAACTCTAGTCTGCTGTTTGTAAAGATAAACATTTCAAAAACAGTATTAACTGTTTCCTATAACACAAAGAGACATAGTTAAAATTAAAGGAACACAAAACTATCCTGAGTATTAACTACTCAGGCAAACTGTTTTATTTAAATAAGTCTCCCAAATACAGGATGTTGATAATGAACACTGACAGAACACAAATGGTAGAAGCAAGAGTAGGGTAGAAATGAGCAAAACAGAACATAAAAGAAGACAAGCTAGTAGTACAGAGATGGTGATCTGAGTTGCTGGTTAAAAATGAACTCATCTTTTTCTTCACCTACACAAAAAAGCAGATATGCACTCATTAGACAGACAGCGAGTGTGTCCCATGCCAGACACCATCCCAGGCACTGGGGTCAGAAGGCCGAGCCTCTGCCTCTAAGCAGCTGGCCACGTACTGGAAAAGGAGGCCAGTACTAAAACTTCTCGAGCAAGGAAGGCTTTAGACTACAGTTGTGGTAAATGCCACCCAATTATTGATGCTATGAGATAATATAATGGGAATCTAACATTTTACTTTGCCATGTACTAAGTGGCACTTTTAAAAATAAAAACTGGTAATACACTTTTTTTTTTTTTTTTTTTGCAATGATGGGGATGGAATCTAGTTAAAAGTGCCTTACTACTGAGCTATATCCCACAGCCAGAAACTTGCAATATAAATTTTAGTATTTACATAATCGTTATCCATGCAGGGTGTGGTGGCTCACGTTTGTAATCCCAGCACTCAGGAGGCTGAGGCAGAAGGATTGCCATGAGGTCAAGGCCAGCCTGAACTACATAGCAAGACTCTGTCTCAAAAACAAAAATCAAATCACTTACATTATCACTATTTGATGTAGTCAAAAAGTGAAAACAACCCAAATGGATGAAATGGGTTCTATTCACACAATGGAACATTTTTCTGCACTACGAAGAAAGAAGGTAATGGCATATGCTACGCACAAAAGAACGTGGCCAATGTTATGCCAAGTGAAAGAAGTCTGCCACAAAGGCCCACGTGGCATGATCTCATAAAAGGGCATGTCCAGAACAGGCAAATCCACAGAGACAGGGAGTAGAGCAGTGGCTGCCCTGACTAGGGGTTAAGAGGTAACCAGGAGAGACTATTAATTGCCGTACGGTTTTTAGGCTTAGATTTTGTTTTTGTATTATCTTGGTGATAGAAACTGGCCACTGCTGAGCTCCATCCTGAGCCCTTTCTATCTTATTTTTATTTTGAGACAGGGCCTCACTCAATTGCCCAGTCTGACCTCAAACTCCCAATCCTCCTGTTTCAGCCTCCTAAGCAGCTAGGATTCCAGGCATGCTGGTGAAATGGAGATATTTTTTTAAGGCCTGTTGAGTATGTTACACTAATGATTGTGGTAATGGTTGTACAACTCTGTGATGTACTAAATGCCAGTGAATTATACACTTTAAGCGAGCTGTATGTCAACTATACCTCAATAAAGCTTTTTCATTTAAAATCTTTTTTAATCCTTTGGGAAGATAAGAGATTGCTAAGGGCTGACTTCTCTCTCTATGGGGGAAATAAGATTTCTTTGTAGTCTCGATCATACCCAGTCCGGCTTCCCACTTGGCAGTCAGCTTGCCCCACAGCCCCAGGCCAGTTCTGCATGTCTTCTAGGATCTGAGGTTTCCTAATGTATTCATTTACCAATGACCTTGTGTCCCTTCTTCCATACCATGTTAATTCTGAGATAATATACTCAGAAAGAAAAATAAGCAAAAGTGGTTACAGCTTTATTCAACCTATTTAGTGTTATTTTTTAAAACAGCCCAAATTCTGCCTGAATAAAAGTCAAAATGTACAGCAGAAGCTTGAGTTTTTGGTCTTAAAACCGTGGTTTACTCAGGGCTTCTGGGAAGTAAAGTTACTGTTCCCCTAGAATGAGCCGACTGGCCCAGGTGCTGCTGGGTGTCATCCCTTGCCTGCTGGGAATCAGCCTTCGGATAAAGTCAACAATGGTGTTGCCCTAGGGAATCAAGAGAACAGACTGGGTCCCTCAGGATACCAAGTCTTTGTATCAACCAACTGTCTGAAGCTTGCCCTGCCTCTAGATTTTGAATTATAATAAATGCTTTCTGCTGGGCATGGTGGTGCACACTAGTAATTCCAGTACTTGAAAGGATGAGGCAAGAGGATTGCTGCAAGTTCAAAGCCAGCCTGGGCTACACAGTGACATTTGCCTCAAAAAAATAAAAAATAGCTGGGTGTGGTGGTGCATGCCTGTAATCCCAGTACTTGAGAGGCTGAGGCAGGAGGATCGTTGGGAGTTCGAGGCTAGCCTGGGCTATATAAGTGAGTTCAAGGCCACCCTCAACTACACAGTGAGACCCTGCCTCAGAAAGACAAAAATAAATAAATAAATAAATAAATAATAAAAAATAACAACAACAACAAAAGCCAGAAAACAATAAATACACAAATGATTTCCTTAGGTTTCTCATTATAATCAAATGTTCCCACATCATACATTATTGTACAATACTATGCAGTTTGTCTTTCTCTCTGAAGAATAGATTATAATGATCTCTCCAAGTTAATTGACACAGTTCTCACTTTTTCCATGACTGTATAATAATTCATGACATGCAAGTACCTATTGCCTCTATTAAAGAGAACTCACTTTGTTTCCAGTTTTTTTTTTACCTACACACAAGAAATACCCTTGTGTGTAGCCTTTCAAAATCCAGCAGTAAAATTGCTGGATTGAACACATCACTCATTCATTAATTCATTCATTTATTTTTGAGACCAGGTCTTGGTATACAGTTTAGCCTCTATGTGCTAAGATTACAGGCATGTGCCACCATGTCGACACATCTTTTATTTTAGTTGCGATTGTCAATTGCTTTCCAAAAGTATTCTAACAGTAGTATGCAGACAACCATCTTCTTCATAGCTGAGCCACACAGGTGTGATCATTCTTTTAATGACTGCCAATCTGGTTGGTGAGAAGGAATTTCATTGTTACTTTAACTTGTACTTTACCAACTACATATAAAGTTGTATAACCTTTCACTTACTTATCAATACTTAGACTTGCTCTTCTATGTATTATTTGTCCAATATACTCCCTGCTAATTTTTCTACTGTTATATGTTTATTCCTTATCAATTTTTCACATACAATTGTAAATGGTATTCTCTAATCATTCCTTTCATCTCTTCTAATATGTGACTACATCTCCTTCTCAGTATTAGTCTTATAATCTCTTGATTTGTTTTGCTTTCTCTATTTTTCTTAAATAGATATTAGGTTCTCTTCATTTTCATAATCTTTCCAAAGAATTATGTATCTTTTAGTTAATTTTGTGTTTTTCTAAGAAACTCTTAAGCTCCTTTAGTTTTTTTTTAGCTGCAAACTGATTCACATACAAAATTTACACTTTAGGGCTGGGGATTTAGCTCAGTGGCACAGTGCCTGCCTGGCAAGCGCGAGGTCGTGAGTTCAATTCCTGGTACCGGAACCCCCCCCCCGCAAATTTACACTTTAAAGTACACACTACTGGTTTTTAGGATAATCACAGAGTTGTATAACCATTACTTTCCTCCAGTCATTATTTGTCTTCTTTAAAATTGAGTTAAGACTGCAACGGTGTTGGCGTGGTTTCGACTACAACTTCCATTCTGTCCTGAAGGCTTTGCTTTGGAGTCTCTTTTTTCATTGCTTTCTAGTTACTCTCATTCGTTTTGATACGACCTTTGGCCCAGAGATTATTTACCAAGTAAGGCATTTCTTTTTTGAGGGGGCAGGGCTTTGAGACAGGATCTCGTATGTAGCGCAGTCTGGGCTTGAACATGGTGATGCTCCTGCCTCAGCCTCCCCAAGTGCTGAGATTACAAGTGTGTGCCCCCATGCCCAGGTAGTAAGGCATTTTTAAATTTTTAACTTTAAAATTGTTTATATCTTTCTCTTTAGAGGTATGAAAAAAATAAATAAAGTAGGTATGAGCCAGGCATGGTGGCACATGCCTATAATCCCAGCACTCAGAAGCCTGAGGCAGGAGGATCATTGCGAGTTTGAGACCAGCCTGGGCTACAAAGTGAGCTCAAGGCCAGCCTGAACTGTACAGTGAGACCCCGTCTCAAAAAGACAAAAAAAAATAAAAAAGTAGGTATGAGCTACTCTTATACCTAAGGTAAAATAAATTTTTAAAAAGTTATACTTACATTGGGCATGGTAACACATGCCTGTAATCCCAGCACTTGGGGAGGCTAAGGCAAGAGGACAAGTTTCAGCCTTGCCTGGGAAACACAGCATCTTAGGGAGACCATGTCTCAAAATTAAAAGTCAAGAAAGAGGGAAGAGGAGCTGGGTTCAATCCCCAGCACCACAAAATACTACTAGTAATAATAAATCTTTTACTCATTTAGAATTTATTTTTTGAGAAAGAAATGCAATAGGAATCCACCCTGTCCCAAATAAGAGAGCTGTTCCACCAGCAGTCATTAAATGGTCTCTATTTTCCCATGATTTTACTATGCTTATTGTACACTGAATTTCTTTATCTTTCAAATTTATTTCCAGACTCTATTCTGTTCCCTTACATATTTTCTTTCCAGAACCAACAAGGAAAGTCTGGTAACTTTATTTTTAAATACCTGGTAGAGTTAGTCTCATTTCTCTTTTCACAATTTTCTTGGTTATTCTCATCTTTAACTTTTCATTAGGACTGAGTGGGTACGGGTCAAGGAGGTTTTGAGACAGAGACTCACTATTTAGTTCATGCTAGTTTTGAACTCATTATATTAGGGTAGCCTGGAACTCCTGTGATCCTCCTGCCTCAGCCTCCTGCATGCTGGGACTAGAGGCATGTGCCACCACACCCAGCTTTTCATAAGGATTTAAGTGATTTTTTTCTTATGTTCTGAAAAAAGAAATCTTACCGGTGTTTTAACTGGAAGTAAATAACATTTGTAGATTATTTTAAATAACTTATCTGTGCATATTATGGGCTCATATCAAGGGGGAAAATTTAGCTTTCCATTTGCCTAAATACTGTCACTGTATGTCCCTTTTGGAGTTCGAAATTTTTCTTTAAATGGTTTATTTTTCCTTCAATTTAAACTGAGGCACTTTATTTTGGTTGTTACTATAAATATTTTCTTTCTCTTCTTAAATTGCATTGGCTAATAAACCTAGAACAATGTTAAATAAATATGTGACATTTTAGGGTATTGTTGTTCTTGTACCATTAGGTAAAGTAAAATCACAAAAGTGATACATGATCACTCATCCAGGTTAATACATAATCTAGCGTTTCTTTTTCTTTTTTTTTTTTTCTTTTTTGGTTTTTGGTTTTTCTCCGGTACCGGGAATCGAACTCACCTTGCACTTGCCAGACAGGCGCTGTGCCACTGAGCTAAATCCCCAGCCCCAGTACATAATCTAAAGCCTATTTTTTTTTTCTTTTTTAATACCTGGCACATAATTGAAATTCAATAAGTATCGACATTCAGTGAATGTCTGTTAATGTCTTCCATACAAAGACACATAAATAGTGCAAAATAGTGCCAAATAGGAAAAAAAAAATACTAATTAACATTTCCTGAGATGTCCTGAGTGCAGGACACTGGCCTAAAAACTCTACTTCACAGCTCTCCACTTCAGACCCGAGTCAGGGTTAATTCTCACATTCAATCGTGGCAATGAGCATCCCAGGAAGAGAATGACGGTTCCAGTTCCAGTTCTGTCGCTGATTCGATGACCTTGGGCAGCTTTTGGCTAACACCTTCCACCCACCCAGGAGACAGCTTGGAATGCACTGGGAAAAGGCCCGAGTCCCCACGCTCAGGGCTGACACCCACGAAAGGAGCAAAGAGAGGGGTGGCAGAACTGAGCCTGCTTTGAGAAAATGGATGTGGTGACACTTTTTAAATGAATGAATGAATAAATACACAAAACAATCCCGGGGTCCGGGCCACGCTGCCACCTCCCCTGTGAAACACGGCGGCTTCCGTTATGCTCCCGCGAAGGGAAGGGGCATTCCGGGCTGCCCAGCAACATTTTCCGAGTCCTCACACGCGCCCCACTGAAGCTGCGTGGGCGCCCAAGCACACCTATTCCCCTCTCCAGTCCGGACAGGGTCATCCAGAAAGAACGCAGACCTGGGATCTGAGCAGACTATCCGAACTAAGGACCTAGGCCTCCTTACTCTTGTTGGGTGCATTCGTGGTTGCAGGCCACCCCCGGCCCCGTTTAGGGAGCAGCACCTCGGTGGAGGAGTGGTGGGCAACCCAAAGGTCAGAAAGGTCAGGCCGGTGCTCCGCGCCAGGCTGCAGCGCCTCCAGGAGCGCCTGCCAGCTCGGGGGCGGGGAAGAGGCCGGCCACCGCGCTTGAGTGGCCGCCCTGTCAGCCAATGGGCTCGCCGCCCCGCCGCGCGGAGGCCCCGCCCCTCCCGGCGCGCTCTACTCACTTTCCCCACTTCGGCGTTGCCCATGGAGATGACTTTGATGCGGAGAGACTTGCTGGGCTCCTTCCGCTTCGGCAGGTTGGCCTCCATGGCCTTCGCTCTCTTGAGGCCACCCGCTTCGGTCTCTCCTTGTGCACCAAGCCGGCCTGTCCCTCAGGCCTCCTCGCCCAATGGCGGAGCCGCTGCTCTCGTCACCGCCCGGGCTCCGCGGCTCGCCATCCTCGCCGCTCCCTGGCAGCGGACGCCGGCGCGTGGGAGGCAGGAGCTGGGGGCCGGAAAAGGAAGTCTCGCGACGCTCGCGCGGGCGGTGACGTCATCGTCGCTTGAGGAGCGGCTTCGGTCACCGGGTCCCCGGGTCGCGGTGCGCGCGGTCTGGAGTCTCACAAGCTGGCGGCCTGGGGCCTTTGGCCGCGGTGACGCCTCTTGTGCCGCATGGTCTTGTTTCCAGGTCTCTGGGGCAGGAGGCATTTGTCACATTTGCACCTAGTGTTAGAAATGTATTGGCTTTTCAAGGTGGATCATCCGTCTGGGAGTGTATGGGTTATGAAGGCCCCGGCTGCCAAAATCCCAAGTTGACCACGGTTCGTTTTTGGTGTGGTATGTGGTGTGTGGTTTGGTTTGGTTTGGTATGGGTTTTTTGGATTTTTTTTTTGAGACAGAGTCTCGCTATGTAATCCAGGCTGGCCTTGAACTCACTATGTAGCCTCTACTGGCCTTGAATTTGCTGCGATCCTCCTACCTCGGCCTCCTAAATACAGGGATTACAGGCGTGTGCCACCACGCCCGGCTCCACGGTTTGTTTTGAGTTGGGCTTTTTTTTTTTTTTAAATCGCTTGGTCTCATGGGCTCCTCTGCTGCCCGCCTCCCTCCTGTACAGTCCCTCAGGACCCAGGTTCCTTATATCAGATGCCACAGTATTTGCACATAGCCTGCCCCAGACTCAAATTACGTTAAATTACCTCTAGATTACTTATGATACCTAATAAATGCAAATACAAAGCAAATCGTTGTCGAAGTGAGGTAGGATAGGAAAAGTAAGACAAGTAGAAAGGAGACAAAATTATAAATTGTACTTTCAATAAAAACTACAGGTTTAGGACACAAAGCAGGTAAACAACTTGCTGTGGTCTTGAAAGACACTAAGCCTGGGCCCTTCCTTCCCTTTTACCTATAGGTGGCCTTTTCCACCTGTGCATAAACATGCTTTCCCCTGTAAGCAGGCCTTTCCCGATGGGTAGACTGCAGTTCTGTCGCCTACTATGGTTGTCACCTATGCGTGGGCCATCACCTTTCCCCTGCAGAAAATGCTGTCGCTGTTCGTCTGTGGATTGCATCCTGTCTTCATAGGATTACAAGTTTTATAGATTTCCACTCTCAACCACTCCATAAATATACCCAGCTCAAGGCCATAAGGAAATCTCTGGTTCTTTGGGGGTTTTTTTGTTTGTTTTTGTTTTTCCTAGTAAATCTCCTATGCCTCTTACTGAAATTTGTTTTCTGTGATGGAGGTTAGTGAACTGCAACCTGTCCTGTAGGTGGGGTGAATCGGTCCCCCAACTGGAATTTCAGGACTTCCTCAAAGTCTGTTGGGTGACTTAGGGAACGACAAGGAAAAAAAAGTCTGTACATGTTCAGGGGAGTCGCAGGGGTTTTCTGAGTAGTGTTTTGATGGACTGTTGGTTGAATCAGCAGAACCTGCAGATACTTAGGCCCGACTGTATTTTGTCTCCCTTGCTCAAGCGTCGTGAGAGGCAGAGTCCCAAGCTGGGTCAATGGGGAAGTCTGAGTCCTGGTTTTGGAAGAGGGCTTCAGGTAAGAAAAGAATTGTTGCGTTGGGCATCCTGCAGCTCATCAGTACAGGACTTGCCTATCGTATACCAGGCCTTGTTCAATCCCCAGTGCCCACCACCCCCATTGTCCCTTTGGAGTCAAGAGGAAAGCTTTAGCTTAGGCTTTGCTTGTCTGTTATGTAACAAGTGGTTTTGGGATTAGTTGACTCATCTGGGGGAGGGAAGCTCCAAACACTGTACTTGTTTCTTTTATTCTCATCCAGCTCTGTCATGATGCACAATTGTAGCTATAAACTCTTCACATTCCCCCTCTGCCTGCTGCTCACATCAAACTTAACCCCACTCATGAGGCAGAAGAGTAATGGATCCTAAGATGACCATTTTTGTCCATCTGACAAGGCACAGTTTTTTGGTTTTTTTTTTGAGTCGGTGTCTTCAGTTACAGAAAATAAGTAAGATTTGACAAATGGTTATTTAGTGCCATGGGAAAGAACAGCTACCATTTTCCCAGCAAATTACAAAGGCAAAGAGGGCATCGTTTCTGTTCTCACATAGATTTAAACATTTTAAATATATTTCAGGAGCTGGGCATGCTGGTACATGCCTATAATCTCAAAAATTGCGAGGCTGAGGCAGGAGGATTGCTGAGTTCGAGGCCAGCCTGGGCCACATAGTGAGTTAAGGCCACCCTGAACTACATAGTGAGACCCTATCTCAAAAAAATGAACCAAACCAAACCAAACCAAACCAAACCAAAAACCATTGCAGGAAGACAATTCTTTTCCAAGAAGATTAAAATTGGAAAAGTATGAAAAGAGAGAGAGAGAGAAAGAAACACTGGAAGAGTAAGTTGTCTGATGAGAACATTAATAATTCCAAGGCTATTTCAGGAGTGGTTCTAGTCTGAGAACCTCAAATGACTTCAGAGGAAGTTTCCAGAAAATGAACTATTTCCAGTGTTTTGTTTTTGTGTCCATCAAACGCTGTATATACAGGGAGAGTAGGGCAGACCGCAGAAGTGGTGTCATGTGGTGTGGCACAGCCTCTGTGGCCCGGGAGCCATACAGAACTTTCGCTTATTTAGCTTCTTCTTGGCCTTGAATGATGACAGAAAGATGCACATCTGTGGCTCCCACTAAGACTCAGGCGAGATGCTGTAGTCATATGCAGCCACAGTTATATGTCAGGGCAGATACGGGCTGGAGAATCTGATTTTTCTGTTCCTTGGAAAATGATGCTTTGGTGGTAGTAGAAAAATGCATCAAGGTTCAAAATGTCATAGTAGTTATTTTAAATTATATTTCCAACTTTACATTTTTTAAGAAAAGAGCTTATTTTGGATTGCTTTCCTAATCAACAAGTAATATGACATAATGAAACATCTAAAGTTTTTCAAAAACAGGAAATGTAAGTCCTGGTTAAAATTTTGATAGTTTAAAACTTAAAAGAATGATTCTTCATAAAGCCAAGGTATGATCTCTCAATACGACTTAGTAAATCACTAAACATCTTATTTCTTTGGTAGTTTACTTTTGACCCTGTAAGAGAACTGGTACTGTAGAAGAGTAATTGCAAAATGTCAAATCTTACTTGTTAGAGACTCACTTAAGCATGATAGTATTGAGGATAATAGCAGTAAACTGAGTGTGGTGACCCATGCCTGTAGATCCGGTTACTTGTGAGGCTGAAACAGGAGGATTGCCTGAGTCCAGGAGTCTGAGACTAGCCTGAGCAACATAGCAATAACATATGAAAGAATAAAATTTATTACCATTTTTATCGATGTTTTTTGGCATTTTAATATATATATTAAAATGTTCCAGTGTCACATGTTCCAGTGGATGCATTAAATTAGTTTAGAATTGAAAAAGCAAGAAAATTGGCCTTCTTTTCTACTCTTTGAATAAAAAGAAGGAAGAGCAGCATGAATTGATGAGTCATTACTGCCTGGTACTATGATGGAAGCCTGAAGTCTGGAGCCTGCCCCATTGTACTTTATGTCAGGGGCATGCAGAGGTGGTGAGGACCACGAGAGGTAATGCATGTGAAGCCCAGTCCTCACTCGGTACCATCGGGAGACTCGATCCAGGACCCCTCCAGGTTACCCAAATCCAAAGGAACTCAAGTCTCATGTAAAGTGGCAAAGCATTTGCATGTAACCTCCCCTATACTTTGTTTTTTTTAGGGGGTGCGGTTGGCACTGGAAATCGAACTCAGGACTTTGCGCTTACCAGGCAGGCGCTGTGCCACTGAGCTATATCCCCAGCCCTCATATAGTTTAAATCACCTCTACATTGCTTAAAATAGCTACTACAATATAAACATCATATAAATTACTATTATACCATATTTTTTAGGGAACGTTGACCAAAAAAAATCTGGATGTGTTCAAAAAAAAAACCTGGATGTGTTCAGTACCAACAGTTTTCCCCCAAATATTTCTGATCTGTTGAATCCATAGATGTGGAACCCACTTGTGCATAGTAATTCCCAACAAACAGTAGCAATATGCTCCACTTACTTGTATCTTCTATTTTTATGCACTGAGAAAGATTCTACATATTTTAAAAAGTGAAGTATGAAATATTTTGGCTATACCTAAAGAAAAATACAAAAATACCCATGGATCTAGAGCCCAGCTTGAGAAATAAAGTATCACTGATACTGTGTGTGCCCATCCCCTGTACAATCCTCCTGTGTACATGTTGCAGCTCTCTGAGTCAGTGCTTTTAATTTCTAGGCATTTAGAATTATTTAAATGTATTTGTTTATACACTTTAAGTATTGCATTTCATCTTTCAAACTATTTTGAAATAATTTCACACAAAAAAGTTTTAACAACAGTACAAATATAGTCACTTATGCACACTTTTTTCTGAACCATTTGAGATTTATTTGCATACCTTTTTCTTTTGTTATGGTACTGGGGATTTAACCCAGAGCCTTTGCACTGAGCTACCTCCCCACACAGCACTTTTTAAAAAATGAAACAAGGTCTTGCTAAGTTTCTAAATCGCCCAAGTTGGCCTCCATTTTGTGACCCTCCTGCTTCCACCTCTCAGAGTGCTGGGATTACAGGTGTGCGCCACCACGCCCAGCTCAGACGTGTTTCTTAATCCATACATATTTCAAAGTGGATTTCCTTAGAACAAGGGTTTCCTCCTACATAGGAACAGTATACTCATCACAATCAGGAAGTGCAAAATTTATACAGGACTAATACATAACCCATGGTTGTCTAAGTGCTCCGAGATGCTGCACATCCCCACAGCTAATTCACAGGGGGATATCTGTGGAATTATACATTTTCAAAGCAAACGAATGAAGACAGACTGTAAAGCACTTTAGTTCCAACAGTAGATGGCGTCACAGTCCTTGTGTATGTCGTATCTTGGCGCTCTGTGTTTGTCAGTGTAGAACAGGAACTGAGGGTGGCCTTGTCCAATCTGATGCCAGGTTTGAGAAGA